TCAGTGGCCAATAATGTTGTAAAGAGAGAAAGGGGGAGAAATAAAGTGAACTGTATTTCTATTTTCTCCATCGTTTCTCTTTTCCTTCATCCTCATTCTATGTCTTCCTATTATTTCTCCCCAAGTACTAATACATCATCTTTACTTCTCTTTAGTTTCATGATTTTCACCTCTCTCCTGAGGTGCTAACTATTGCAAATCATACTGGTCCAACGTGTGAGTGGCTAAGGTTCAGAAGTGTGCTGCTACTTAGCACTGCAGAGAAGGGGTTAGATTTAACAGGCTCTGGATTAACCTTTTTTTTTTTATCCCTTCTGAGTTCTAGCTGGGAACTTTCACACGCTTTAGCTTCGCCTACTTTTCAAGATCGGCAGCTGGGTCAACAGACTTTCCGCAGCACCCTGGCTAGAATGGCAAGCTCAGGAGGAGAGTCTTCCGTCTTTACATTTTAAAAAATAAAATAAAAGTTGTTCGCCACACTGATGGGAATAGTAATGCCTGAGAGCACTTGGGGGAGAGGGGAGGATTGGGCCTGCGCTGGCTGTGAAAGGAAAACTCACTGATGACAAAAACAGCAGCTGCTGTCCTCTGAAGGAGGCTAACCACTCCCTGAGAGCAGCATCACACTGCATTTAGCAAGAATAACAGGAAAGGCACGTATGTGACTGACATTCCTGAGAAGCATTGTAAAAGGCTCTATAGATTTTATAGAGGAACACAACGTGCATCATCTGATTCTAAAAACCTAAGGATGGCTTACCATGGACAGTGAAGTTGTCTTGGAAAATTACTCAAGAAATTAATCAAAACTTAATCAGAAAAAAAAATACTTTGTAAGAAAGATTTTGAAACAGGAGAAGAAACATTCAGGCATCTTCAGGAGAAGAGACCTTGTAAAAATCCATAGATGCTTCTGTTTTTACTTTTGGATACCAAATTGGGTAAAAAGGGTAAGAGTTATTCTTTTTTTTTTTTTTTTTTTTTTAATAAACACTGTGTCCATCATTCCTAGAATGTGTTTTCAAAGCTGTCTGCAGTGCAAATTCACTCTCACAACTCCCTCTACAGTTATAGATATTTTAACAACTTTTTAAAATAAAAATGTAGGCCAGGGAAATTGTCTATGAGTATTAAAGGAAAGTATTTATAATGTAATGTTGAATAGCAGACTACAGGCAAAAAACATGGTATACGCACATGGTAATGTAGCTATTGTTACCAAAACAATGGTTTTATTATAGAAATGATGGGAACACCACACTAAAATTATAGCATGTATATGTACATGCTAAAAAAAAAAAAAAAGTAAAAAAGATAATAAATTATTAACAGACAGTTTGTAACTGCAATACTTTTGTAAAGTAAATTTTTAAAAAATGTTATAAGAAAGTAAAAAGTAGTAGAAAGCTAACTACTTAGACATATCACAACAAATGTTTTTATGGAAGAGTGCTTTTTTCATCTTATTAAGTTTATTGGGGTGACATTGGTTAATGAAACCATATAGTTTTCAAGTGTACAACCCAATAAAATACCATCTGCACACTGCACTGGGCATTCACCACCTAAAGTCAAGCCTCTTTCCATGCCCAATTATCCCTCTTGTGCCCATTTCTACCTCCCCCTGCCCCCGTCCCCTCAGACCATGCAGTCATGTATGTCTATGTGTCATATATATCCCTTAATCCCTTCACCTTCTTTAACCCTGACCCACAAGCTATCAGTCTGTTTGATGTGTCTATGCTTTGGTTTCCATTTTGTTTGTTCAATTATTTTGTTGATTAGATGCCACGTATATGTGCGATCATATGCTATTTGTCTTTCTCTGACTGGATTATTTCACTTGGCATAATTTCAGGGTCCACCCACGCTGTCATAAAAGGTAAGGTTTTCTTCTTTTTTATAGCCAAGGAGTATTCCATTCAATAAATGTATTGTACTATAACTTTTTAATCCACTCATCTAATAATCCACTCATCTAAACCGAGGATGTTTCCAGATCTTGGCTATTGTAAACACTGCTGCAATGAACATAGGGGTGCATATATTTGTTTGAATTAGTGTTTCGGATCTATTCCCAGAAGTAAAATGGCTGGGTCAGAAGTGAAATGGCTGCACTATCAGAGACTCTGACAGGAGGCTTCAAAGGAGTCACACCAATGGCTCCAGCTCAAGCTGCATCCCTTTCCCCTATGGACACAATAACATTTTATATACCACTCAGGGAGACAATATATGTGATAAAGGAGCTGCCTTTTGAATATCTTTTCTAACTAATTATTCACTATGGGGTCTAACTTTGAGACTAACCTCTCTACACTTTAGGATTTTCATCTGTAAAGAAAAACTAATAATATTATTTTGGTAAGCCCTCAGCCTCAAATGCTGATCCCCCTCCTTCTTTTCATGCTGCCTCCTTTTCGTGGTTGGGAGCTAATGTGTCTGTGATCTGAGATTCCTGCTAAATGAAAGGAACAATGTGTTGAGCAGACCTCTAACAATGTCTTTCCCAAAAACAACTCCTGTGGATTCTCTTTGTGTTTGGTAACCGGATACAAGGAACAAAAGGACACCTTCTTTTCTGCCTGGGAACCCAAATAGAGACATTTGAGGATGATTTCATGAAGTTGTAGAATTAACCTTGAAGCGTGACTGTTTTAGAGTAATGATAAATCTGGGAAGCATTTCAGAGAGAGAACAAAAGAAGTCGAATGGGACTGTGGCTGGAGCAGGCGCCATATATTGAGAAAAGGAGAGAACGGAAAGGTCATGTAAGATTATGAAAGATCATGATGTCTGACTAACATTTGTTCAGAAAAACAAATGACAAGGTTATAAAGGGAATTAATCATTCCCTCATCTCCCTGGCCATCACTGTTTGATTCACCACGTAAAAAAAGAGACATGAGCTGGAAAAGATTGAAGACTGAAGTACTACATTAAAACAAGAGAGCACCAATAAATGTCAACATGCCAGAACAAGAGCACATGAAACCTGGCCTCCAAACAACAAGGGCTCTCTGTGCACGCGCTCTCCCTCCCTCTCTCTCTCTCTCTCTCTCTCTCTCTCTCTCTCTCTCTCTCTCTCTCTCTCTCTCTCTCTCTCTCTTTCTCCCCTACTCTCTTCTTTGCTTTATTTTTGTTTTATTTTTTTCTTTATTGATTAAGATATTACATATGTGTGGTGTGCTTATCCCCGAATGCCCCCCCCACCCCCACTCATGCCCTCACCCCCCTGTGTCTGTGTCTATTGGTTAGGCTTATATGCATGCATAAAAGTCCTTTGGTTGATCTCTCCCTCTTACCCCCACTCTCCCCTACCTTCCCTCTTAGGTTTGACTATCTGATTGATGCTGCTTATTAAGTACAAATAAAGACATAACTTGATAGGTTCCAAAATGCTAAAATTTTCCTTCTGTATATATGAGTAGGAAAAATATGATAATATTTAATTCATCCTAAAGAGAAAAATAGAAATTAATCTGTTACAGGTGCTGCTAAAGATATTCTCACAGCAGAATTCTATTACAGAATTTAGCAAGGAATACAAGTTTTAGGATTTAAGAAACAAATAACTTAACTTAGAGGTTCTTGAAGTTATGAAAGTACTGGCAACTAAATAGCAAGATGACACTTGTATCTGCCTGGGTTTTGTATTTTTCTTGGGTCTACTCTTCTCACAGAATTGATATGATTTATTTAGACTATCAAAGAGCTTTTATAAGGTTCTCACAAGAGCCTATTATTGAAACTTGGTAACCAAGGAGTGGAAGAAAAAGTCATATCAATGAAATAAATGAATTAAAAACTGCTTAAGAGGAAAAGAAGCCAAAAACAGAAATAACTTGCCAGTTCTCATGTGGAGAAAGGTTAATGACTAAGGACTCTTAGGCTTTGCAGTAGAATTGAAGTTATATTTAACTAATGACTAAGCAAGGGGAGCCCAATTCTCATTCCCCCATTCTCTGCATATCAGTCCCGCACACAGAGCCCCCATTGACTGCACATGGGGGAGATACAAACAGCATGGGGAAGTGCTTAAAACCCAGGAGAGAGCAAATAGGTAATGAATGTTGACTCATGTAGAAAGCCCCATATATAAAGGAGACAGCTATAAATATATTAGTGAAATTTCAATTTCTAAAACTTTGACACATACTACATAGAAATAAAAATGCCTTTTCAAAATACAGGATATGGTATTTGAACAACAGTAAATAATTTATTGGCATAATGAGAGCCAATGTTCCATACATGAAGAATAGCTCAAGTGGGCATCTAATTCTGCAAAAACCACAAAGTCTATTTTATATATTTAGAAATGTAGAAATAAACAAGTAAAACTGATTGTTAGAAAATTAAGAATTACTACAGTCTTCTGAGGCAAACTTGACAAATTGGAACAGGTTTTAACAGAAGCATAACCTGATATGAATGGAATAATTGGGAAATCATATACTCTAATTAACATTAATGCTTTGTGACCATAGCTCAATATGGCATTTTCACAATATCATGACAGACTTCACAGAAGGGGGTCAGAAAAGCCAACAAACTCCTGACTTAACCTCTATTTGTCTCAGTTTCCTTGTCTGTAAGAAGGAGAATAATAAAGTTGAGTTCACAGGATGATTATAACGATTAAGAGATATCAGATATGTAGAGTGTTTAAGACAGTAAAGGTAAAAACTAATGTTAAATTATTATTGTTGTTATTAGTATTCATGATGTGCTAACCCTAAAGAACATGCCACAGACAATCAATACATTGTGACTTCCTTGTTTATGGCATTAAGACTCAGTACTTAAGAAGACAATTAAAATGCTTTTAAATGCATTCAAATACAGAAAACACTTAGTTTTAAAATACCTTCCCATAAACCAATTTTGTGAGAAGGAAGAAAATATTCAACTTAATCTAAATAAAACTAAAAGAACACCACAAAATACCAGATAAATGCTAACATAATTCTTGAATGTACAAATAGATCAAAGCTTACCGTGCAGATAATATTTTAATAAGCTCTTTTCTATTCTGTACCCGAAGGTGATTAGTTTTATACTTGCAGTCATCAATCAGTTCAGGCAAATTCAAGATCTAAAAGATAAAAATAATTTTAATGTATAACTCACAAGTTTTTCTCATATCTGCCTGTGGGTACTGGTGTTCAAGGCCTACCACTACCTCCCCAAGACCATTCCTTGCTGGTCTTTACCCTTTTCTCAAAAAGAGACATAGAGCAAGAAAGGAAACTAGAGGGGAGAATCATGCCATTAGGATGTGTGATGCTGTGACTATCTATATTTATAGAAATCCTCTAACCAACATATATCTTGTAGATACATTTACTTTTTGTTCACATGTAAATAAATATTATCTGTCCTGCTAGTCCTATACATGATGTTGTACAAGATGCTAAAATAAAGGCAAAACACACATACATTTGACCTAACTGCTCACCATTAAAATAATGTCAAATTCAAAGATATTTTTCTAATACAAGTACCACTATTTTTCTTAAATATCTCTCCCTGAAGGTATAACAAATAAAAATGTTTTATATACTTCCTCGTTTGCTCCTCCTCCATAAATGAAAAATCTATCTGCCAAGTTTCATTCACTATCCTGTAATCTTGATGAGATCATAATAGAAGTACCCAGTGGGTTTGGAATGGATGTTTTAAAAACAATATGTGGAGGCAGAGTTTGGCAGTTGGGTTGGAAAGTCAGAAGCATTTATAGATTAGGGTCATGGCCTGTAGCCTACAGAAAGCTTCACTCCATCTATTAATGTATTTGCTTTAAATATAAACATTTAATGGTTTCATTTGTTTCTCACAGTATAAATAAAACCAGTCCATTAATCATCTTACAAAAAAAGAGAGAAGTAACTCAAACTATTCTAAAAAATTCAAGGGTAGGGAGGACACAAGCTCATGACACCAGCATTACCCTAATTCCAAAACCAGGTAAAGACTCTACAAAGAAAAAAAAATACAGGCCAATATCCCTTATAAATATTGATGCAAAAATCCTCAACAGAATATTATCAAACTGACTTCAGCAATATATTAAAAATATCATACACCATGATCAAATGGGACCTATCCCTTGGATGCAAAGTTGGTACACTATCATCAAATCAATTAATATGTTATAACACATTAAATTAATGAAAGATGCAAGTCATATGATTACATTCATAGATGCAGAAAAGCATTTTACAAAAATCCAACATCAGTTTATGATATTAACTCCCAGGAAAGTGGGAATAGAGGAAAAAAACACAACATAAAGCCCATAAATGATAAATCCACAACCAACATCATAGTCAACTGGAAAAAAAACAAAAATCATTTCCCTCAAGATCAGGAATAAGACAGAAATGTCCACTTTCATCAATCTATTCTACATAATACTGGAATTCCTAGCCATAGCAATCAGACAAGAAAAAAATAAAAGGCATCCAAATTGGAAAGAAACAAGTAAAACTGTCATTATTTGCAGATACTATATAGAGAAAATGCTAAAGATACCACCATAAAACCTACTAGAATTGATAAGTTAATTCAGTAAAGTAGCAGGATACAAAATAAGTAGCAACCTGATATCATACCATACTACAAGGTTACAGTAATCAAAACAGCATGGTACTGGCATAAAAACAGACAAATTTTTATAATCAATGTTTTGAACGCTTTACTTGGTAGACTGCTTATCTACATTTGATGTAGTACTTCTTCTAGGTTTTTGTCCTGTTCTTTCATTTGGAACATGTTTCCCTGTCTCCTCATTTAGGCTACATTTCTTTGAATTAGACAAAACAGCAACCTCTGCTGGTAATGAAGAAGTGGCCTTACTTAAGAGCATACCCTTTGTAAACCACATGTACCAGGTGTCTGGCAGGCCAGTTGGAGCTGGAGCTGGAGACAGTGAGGGCTATATGGAGTCCCAGAGGCAAGCCTCACCTGGGCTGCCTAGGCAGGCTGGCTGGCTCTTTGGTTGGGGCCAGCACAGATCACAGGCAGTCGCCGTGGGCAAGCAGAGCCAAGGCCACTTTTGCAGGTCAGATGGAGCTGTAGTTGGAGCAGACTGAGGCTTCAGTAAGTCAGGGGACAAACTGCACTGCACGTGGCTTGACCTGTAGTTAAAGGGGGCATGCACCATGGGGAGTCCAGGGGCCAGTCACAGAGCTGGTGTGGGCATGGGGTCTGGGGCATACAGGGATGGCTTTGGCCAGCTGCCTAGAACTTCTGGATTGTGTTTGTGCTCATGAAACCAAGGTGGAGTGGCAGCAAAACAAATCGTGCTCTTCTGTGTTTCTGGCATCAGAGAGAGTTCCCACAGTTGCCCTCATGTTTGGCAAATGCTCTAGGGCTATTAAATGAATTTACTTCCCATATATATAGGTGCCTTTTAAACTGGTTTTTTTTTTCGCCGTGCCCAGGTTCGACAAGTCTGTGTGTGGGCCCTTTCAGTGATCCCTTCTTATGTTCCATTTCAGACATACTAAGTCAAAATCTTTGAGGATGGACATTTGCTATGCATGCTGAAGTTGGAAGCCAATGCATATTGCTTCCAATAAAAGAAACTTGAACTCCAAATAACTTTTAAAAGGATGTCAATATACTTCAAATAGGCATACCCATTAGAGTTGGCATCAATCAGCTTGAAATAGCTTACATGTGCTTACATTCCCTTATTCTTCTGTATCACGTTAAGGGCCATAAAGTAGGATTTTTTAAAAAGCAAGGTTCACTTTATATGAAGGAAGATATTCTCAGCTCCAAGCTTTGAACCCTATGTTCTTGCCCTCACTCTAATCCCGGACAATAAGAGATCCCTAATGGGAACCTCCCCAAGAAGTGTTAGTGAAGCAGTTTATCAAATTTTATTTTGGGAAGAGATTAGGCCTTAGTGAATTCTACTCGGTTGTGGCAGGCAATATTGCTACATTTCTCCTCAGAAGGTTGGGAAGTGGAGTGGCTATATATTTCAAAGGGGCTCTTACCTGGCAAAAGAACAATCTTGATGGGCTCACTGTCAAAAACTGGGGAACTCATCTTCTAGAAGGCCAATTTGAATGACAGGCCTCTCAGTATGAGATATATTTGAATAAAAAAATACTTCGAAGAAACCCATCCACTACAGTTGAGAGGAGGAAAATCTTGCATCAAAATAAGGATACAGGTGTCCTGGCTGGAGTGGCTCAGTTGGTCGGAGCATCATACCATGCACCAAAGGGCCAGAGGTTCGATTCCCTGTCAAAGCATATACCCAGGCTGCAGGTTTGATCCCTGATTGGGGCACATATGGGAGGTCCAACAAATCGATGTTTCTTTCTCTCCCACTCCCTCTCCCTTCCTCTCTCTCTAAAAAATAAAACAAAAATTCTTGAGAGAAAAAAATTTTTTTAATAATAATAAAGTAAATAAGGACACAGGTGATACTTCTTAGGTGAAAGGTTTTAAAAACAAGTTTACATGTAAGGATATAATTATGAAGGTTGAAAAAAGGCAATCAGATTGCAATGTTTGCTCAAGATGCCTAGTAAATGATGTAAATAACATTAAAATCTTATATACGGTTTTTTCTGAAGATCTCAGAATTTTATAGGTACTGTCTTAATGGCTCAAAACAGGAATTATCATTCCAAACTCACATATGGAAAAAACAAAGTCAGTATGCCATTCCCCAAAGCCCTCTGATAGTCTTTTTTTTTTTTTTAACAATGTGTCATAACACTCAGCGATAACTCATATTTTAGTACTATGATTTATGGCAAATATCCTGCTTTGAAATAAAAATCTTTTCCAATAAATGTTCTTACGGATATTTATGAGGAAGTTCAAAAGTTTCAAATTAATCAGCAATAATGAATCAAAAATAAAAAGAATTCAGTACAGTTATTTTCAACAGTAAAGAATATGTCAACCAGTAATTTCTCTCCTCTCCTCCCCCACCTTTTCTAGAGAGAGAAAACTCCAAAACATATGGCCCAGAAAGACAATCTGTACTCGTTTATAGCAATGAACTGGCTTTTACATCTCTGGAGCTAGAGTACACAAATGACTTAATAGGCAACAGCTTCCGTATGTTTCATATTTTTAACGTTGACCGTTCACAATAAAGATTCTTTGATCCCAGATCAAATGCATGAATCAATTTTCTCTACACTTATTCAGAGAAACCATTATAAAAGCTCTCCTCTTCTCCACCTCAGATGTTCCAACCCTTCCTCCAATCAGAACTATCTCCATTTGTCACCTTCTCTGTGGTACTTCCCACCCCTTTGCTGTGGTTTTTAGCTCTGCTCGTTAACCTCTCATTCGAAAAAGGCATGGTAATAAATAAGTTTTGTACATAATAAGTTAACCACAATAAATAAGTTTCCTATAAGAAACTCATAGGCATCTTTAATAAAACTGAAAGCTCACGATAGTATAGTTAGTTTAAAAAAAAAAGTGTCCCAATCAAAGAAAACATCCTCAGTAGTTGAGGCCTTTGCATATATGCAAGGAAAACACACACACACATTTGTTTTTAAAGAACTAGATTACATTTATGGCATTACAACTGGAATAAGTAAACAGAAATCTAAGGCCTTAAGTTTAAAAAAAAAAAAAAAAAAGGACCAAAAAGAACCTAGATAAATGCAAATCATCAAATTTTTTTTAAATGCCTAAAGCATTGCTAAAAATATGAGTATCTTCAGCCTGGCTGGTACGGTTGAAAATTGACCAGTGGTCATGGTTTGATTCCTGGTCATGGCATGGCAGCAAATTGATAATTCTCTCTCATCATTGATGTTTCAATATCTTTCTCTCTCTCCCCTCCTCTTTAAAACAATAAAAATATATATTTTAATTTTTAAAAAAAGTATCTTCAACATAAAATTACTTTAAATGATTCCAAGGCCACTTTTTAGGGCCTTATTGAGGAGCACCGTTTTTTATAAAACCGAATTTGCTAAAAACTTAAAACATAAATTTTGCAGAAAGGTAATCATTAAAATACTTCAAATTTTTACAAAATTTCCTGGTGATAAATTTGGTTGAAGATTATATTTGGGCCTAATTAGACCTACGTTGTAGAACAAAGGAGGGAATGGAAGGAAGGGGGAAGGGAGTAAAGGAGAGAGGAAGGGAGGAAGAGAGGGAGGGAGAAAGTGGAGGGGAAGGAGGAGGGAGGGAGAAAAGAAAACTAGAGTTGAAGGTCCCTTTAATTTTGTTATTGTTGTTGTTTCCTTTTGTTTGGACTGGCAGACAGGTCAGGTTTTAGAATAATTTAAGTTACTATCATTCTTCATTTCAAAATACAGCCTGATACCTCAGAAAAAGTAAACCAGTGAGACTGCTGGTTCAGAACCTGTACTTGGTATTTATAAGCATGAAAATGGCATACTTTAACTTAAGTCTAACACAGGGGGTTCTTGAGTTGCTTGTATACTTAGCAACGCTGTTCTAGGTAAATTAAACCTACCTAGCTTTTTGCTAAATGAGTTTTTGCATATGTCATCCACCCATCCCAAAGATTACAACTTACCTTGCACACAGTAGCAAACTGTTGGTTATTTCCTGCTCCAACTACAAGATAGCCATCCTTGGTTTTAAAAGCCTAAAATAAAAAATAACACACATAAATGTGTAAATTTTATATATTGAGAATACCACAAAAGTTGGTTTTACTTTCTAAAACTCCTATATAAAAAGCTTGTTTTAAAGCAATGTTATTAAGTCAGTATCAACAAATTCGTATATTTTCCACTTATACTTGCACAGTGGCTTTCATTTGGGATTTCCCAAGCACTATCTGGCCCTTCCAATGTTATAACATGGGAGGGGGAAATAATTTAGGAAAATTAAGAAAATCCTAGAATTTTATTACAGCTCATAATGTGAAATTCTGTATTCATTTTAACACGAATAATGTTGAATTTCCCCAAAGTTTTATATTTTGCTTCCACTTTTTTCTTTTAGGGCAAGGCAAGAGGGTACATTGTTTTCTACAAACTATATGAATAGATGAGTAAAAGGAAAGCAGAAGCAAGAAAAGAAGGAAAGGAAAGAGGGTGGACGCATGCACTGATGTGGCTACATTTCAACTTTGAAAACCTCAAATGCAAACGTGTGCACAATTTTCACTCTTGAGTAAGTGAATATGAACATATCTGGATCCTGGACTTCTTTGGCTTATCTACCTTTGGGACAGACATTTAGACAGCAATTCCAATAAGTAATCGACATTCCTACGTCCCGTAATCCAAGCCTCTCTGGAGAACTTCTCAGCACCTTCTTCTCCACATTTGGTCACAGTAGAGTTTGGAGGAACCAAACTTTACCCTCAGAAAGACTCCTTCCCACTTTCCTTAAATAAATACATTCCTTCAGTTTCCTTCTTTTCTCTGCAAAAATCTCTCTGTATCTTTGCCTACTGTTTCTTCTCTCACTCCTGCCTCTGAGAAACATGACCTCTATCTTTCTTAGCAGGGCTCACTCCCATGCTAATGACCTTGGTACTGCTCTAACTAACGTCTTCCAGAACCCTGCTCAAACACCCCCATTTGAAAGAGGGCAGAAGAGGAGTTAGCCTGAGAGTAAAATGGGCATTAAGTAATGCCCACAGGAGGTCTTTCCTTACCTTAGCGAATGTGGCCCTGGTATCACAATGTAGACAGAATTCGGTTTGAAGTGGATCAAGGACTGATTAACCGGTAGGGAAACAGAGGCAGCACATGCAAACATCCAAGAAGTGAAGAATGAGCAAGGGACTGAGAGCACAGGCAGAGCACGATGCAGAGCCAGCCCCCATGTCAACTGGTAAAAGTTCACGCTGGATCCTTCAGCTTTCTGATGAAGGAAGAGGGGAAGCTATCAAATGAGAGGAGGGCTGGGAGACAGGAGACTAGAAGGCTGAGAGGAGTGTAGACCTCCATCGTTACCAAGACAGAGAGAGCAGAGTAACCAGAGCAGCACAATTGTAATGCTGAGGTGTTGAGAGCCTAATTAAGTGGCTTCCTTCTATCATCACTCAGTTATTTGGGATAAATGAGTATTTACATTCACTAGATTTAGGGTTTTATCACATGGATATGACAAAGAGATACAAGTTTAGGAAAGATGCCCAGAATGTTACTGAGCAGTGAAAAATGGGCTGAGATAGAACAGGTGGTGAAGATAGGGGGAGACTATGGCTAGGACAGTACATAAGAAATGCTGTGAAGTCAAAAAATTCTCATAATGAAAGTCACTGAACACGCCAGGTGGGAAGGTCAGACTGCAAAATGCTCCAGCCAAAACTGGTTTGGCTCAGTGGATAGAGCGTCAGCCTGTGGATTGGAATCCCAGGTTAGATTCCGGTCAAGGGCATGTATCTTGGTTGCGGGCACATCCCTAGTGAGGGGTGTGCAAGAGGCAGCTGTTCGATGATTCTCTCTCATCGATGTTTCTAACTCTCTATCCCTCTCTCTTCTTCTCTGTAAAAAATCAATAAATTTTTTTTAATTTAAATTAAATAAAATAAATAAAATGCTCCATTTATTCAGTGGTTATTGAAGTGAAACCATTTCAGTGTGAGGTGAGAGCCACAGTAGGAGGGGCATAGAATAATTGCTGATAAAAGTTGGAAACTCAATAAAAATTATTATTATGAAACAATTACTATATACTGGGTCTGAATAAAAGGAACTCCCATGAGCTCTCCAAAAAATACATACTTAATATTTTAACCTCAGTGGTGCCATGTATTTTCAAATAATTCCTCAAGTAATTCTGGTACGCATCTGTGTCAATCCACTGATTGGAAAGGATCAATATATGTTCCTTACAGTTTTTAAGTTGCTAGTCCCAGAGGTAATGAAGTTTGTATTTTATTTTTTCAAATGCTTTAGATACCACTTTGCTCCCACCCTGCACTCCCAAATTTTCATTTAAGAACTTGAAGAAGTTAAGTTTCTATTACTAAGTCTTAAAAAATTATTAAGGTACTCAAAGTTTAGATACTGGCAGATAAATCATGTTTTTATAAAGGAATAAAGATTCTGGCCCTAGTTGGTTTGGCTCTGTATAGAGCCTCAGCCTGCAGACTGAAGGGTCCCAGGGTCAATTCCAGTCAAGAGCACATGCCCAGGTTGCAGGCTCAATCAAGTGGGGGGCATACAGGAGTGAGCCAATCAATGATTCTCATCGATGTTTCTGTCCCTATCCCTCTGAAATAAAAAATATATTTAAACATTTTTATTGAAATTCTGCAAATTATAAAACAGCAACTCTTGAGAAGACGTGAAAGTGAATTATTAAATGGGTGGTGTGTGAACTCTTAATGGTCACTAGAAGTTTGGGACCCACTACAATAAAGATTGTTTTATATTTTATTAGAACTCTGGACTAGAAAATGTAGAATGCAGCCAGACTAGCAATTCTCAGAGTGTGTTTGATGACTCTGGTTCTGTGGTCAAATACGTGTAAACTATTTAAACCAAGTTAAGCAGGTTTCAAAAATATAAATGAATTGAAGGGTTATCTGTCAGGTTTTCCTGTTTATATCTTAACTGATTCCTTACACCTTCCCCAACTTGCCATCACCCTTTACTTTAGAATTAAACTGCAGAAAACTTTATACCTGAAAATTTTCTTTTCCTTCCGAAGAAATCTGCAAAACACTTTAACTTAATACACACACACACACACACACACACACACACACACACACTCACGTATAATTCTCACTGGAGAATATATTTATATATTTGTATTGAGTTTTAGAGAGGAAGGGAGAGAGAGGAAAAAGCATTGATTGGTTACCATGTTAACCTGTACGCACCAGAGATTGAACCTGAAACCTAGGTATATACTCCTTTGGAAGACCTAACTGAGCCGCCCGGTCAGGACGACTTCCAATATTTTTAATACCCCGAATAACTGAAAACAAGTTGTTTAATCCTGTTATGAGACATTAAATTTATTATAATTAGCTAAATACGTGTTGATAGAGAATGTGATCCAAATAAATTAGATGAACTTTGTATTGTTGGAAATTTAAAACAGCCAAAATTATGTTATTAACTAATGTCACCCCAATAAATTCAATAAAAGTAAAACAGCCACACAAAAAAAGGAACTCCCATGTGCATTCTAAGCCCTCAGATTCTGGTACCCTGGCCCTCATCCGCTCTACAAATAACTCCTCTCTGACTCTTAATCCTCTATTGCCTCATTCTCTATACTAGCATGCTTTCCATCACAGATCGAACGCATAAAATTGAGCTGCAAACACTCATGACTGGGGGTCTCTTCCTTTTGTAAGGAAGTCAAGCCTCAGGTGGGAAAAAGCAATCACTTCTGCATGAAAAGATGGGAAAGGGCAGCAGGAGCAAATATCTATAGTTTTGTTTTGTATTTTTAATATTTTTTCATTGTTTAAAGTATGTCTCTCCCTTTCCCCCAATTGAATCCTCCTCAGCTGCTCCCACCCTCCAGGACAAGCCTCCACTGCCCCAGTGTCCATGTCCATTGCTAATCTGCATGCATTCAAGTCCTTTGGCTGATCTCAAACCCCCGCACCCTCCTCTGCCTTCCCTTTGAGGTTGGATGGTCTATTTGGTGGTTCTATGTCTCTGGGCCTATTTTTGTTCATTAGTTTATGTTGTTCATTATATCCCACATGTGAGTGAGATCATGTGATATTTATCTTTAGTTTTAAAAAGACAAAGCCAGAACTAAGCTTTTCTACACAGGAGAACAGATTTTATGATTCCTGAGGAAAGATGCCACTTTCTGTGGGCTGGGCTTACCCAAGGGTGACCAGTGTCACTGGCTGGAAGATCACGAAGAAATTACATGATTTTCTTCACACTCTAGTTATGATAAACCTCTCTTTGGAGGGATGTGTTTTTCAGGCTGAGAAAATATTTATTGGTAAAGGATTAGATGTCCCAAGGAAATGGCACAAGTCATCAAATTGAAAGACATGGAAAGATATGTAAAGAGCATGGGGGTTCAGAGATCAGTTCCTCTAGTCGAGCAGTTTCAGATGTAAAGTGTGGCCATACCTGAATGACTGAGGGGTAGAGATGGGAAATACAGGAGCAGGGCACCATGAGCAGATGTGAAGGCAGAGAAATAAGAGGATCAGTCTGGAATTCCCATTGTTCTTGGAAGTGTCTGTTCTTCCCAGATGCTCTGCTTTCTGAGCTTCTAGGCATGCTGGCCCCATTTGATAATGCCCTAACTATTGAGCTTTCTAAATATAAAAACCACAGGAGGAAGTTCTGTATCAACTCAATCTATCAGATGATCGAATGGAAAAAATAAAAACTAGGAGTTACCCATGTTGATTTATCAGTATTTTCTCTGGTCTAAATAAAGTGCATCCAATTGGTAGTGTCTACTTAAAAAAAAAAAAGCCTTTGGGTTACTTAATTTTTAACACCACATTCTTCCACAAAAGGTAACCCATGCTAAATGATTTCATTATCCACTGGAAAAAGACATTCCATGAAGTTTAACTCACTGCCATGAGAATGTTTTCTGGAATGTCAAGCAGTCACTGGCTTTGGGACTGGGAGGGTGCATTGTGACAAATCTAGAGCACTATTTCCTATCACTAACAGTTCAGTT